AAAAACAAGCCAGCTCAGTGAGCAAGTCAACAAACTCATACACAACCCGAGCTACAGATCTTTGCCAAAACTTTAAATTTCAATAGGGTGCTGAAATTCACAAACTAAAGGTCAAAATTCATGCAGAAGTCAACAATTGAAATAACTCTTGGACTATTTTTTACCATGTGGTGAAACTGTTCCCAATCTGTTGCTATACTTAATGTGTTATCTTATAATTATTCTCTCAGTGAATTATGATGCAGTTTGCTTGTGGAAGATCAGTAGTATAGCTGCCTTACTTGTGCTGTTTGTTGCCAATTTAACAATTGCAGTGAGTTCCAGGCAAAACATTATCATGTTATGCATTTCATTTGAAAGGTTGGGTTTTTGATTGCATTTTAAAATATAAAATATAACATATATAATATAATACGTGTTGAATGTGAGAAGGCAGCAAATCCCAATGCTTGCCTTGCATTTAGCACCTTTTATCACCCTGAATTACTTACTTGTTCAGTGGCAAGCAACAGTAAAGATGTATCCTTTCAAGACCAATTAGTATGTAGCAGAAAGGAGCAATTGGTTAGAAGTAAGAAGGAGTCAGTGACAATGCCATTGCTAAGCCCATAACTTGCTAAGGCCTCCTTAGCAGCTGATGCCAGAAATTCAACCTCACAGAGCCTGTCTATGAACACTGTTTGATTGTGCTGCATAGTATTTAGTTATGTTAATTGAAGTTATGCTAATCTGCCTGTGAAACATCAGGGTGTCTGTGGAAGATTTCAAAGCCTGCACCTGCTAAGCAATCACATGGGAAGTGTGGTCAGACTCCAGTGGAGTGTAATTCCACATCGAAGGTTCTAAATTCAGGTACAGTTCCCCACATGCATGTTCTAACCGTAGCTCTGGAGAGGTCGTGGATCAACATGCAATGTAATTTCTCAACATCGTTCCTGATATAGGCAGTTGTATTGGGACAGCTGTGATATAAGAATTCAACAGTGTCATTGCTGATCAATGCATAAATTTCTGGCTTGCTCTGATAGTGCTCCACAGCAGGCTGCACTTCAGAACAATTCAACATCCTATCACCCAGCTGTCTGGTTTAGATGCCTCCTGATGCACCATAAATGTACAAGCCAAGGCAGCTACTGCAGCTGTGTACAATGTATGATCTCTGCAGTTGTTAGACCATCTGTTAACCCAGACAATCATGTACTAGATCACTTCTATCTTTTTAAGCAAATGCTGAAAGTAAAGCAGCTATCAATCTTACTCTACGTTACACTGAGAAGTCTACTCTATGTTACACTGAGAAGTCATTTGAAAGTTGTACATAGTTTGGAGGAGTATGGCATACACCATCCACTGTCATAAAGGAGAAGCATCAACGTTCCAGAACACAATGCACAATGTAAAGGCTAATAATTGCGCATTTGCTGGTATGTCAGAATGAAGAGGTCTAATGTGTTGTCAAATTCACAGGATCAAATGTGTGATATTTACTATATGGAAGGATTGGTTCTTTAATTGAATGTAGCAGAGGTTAAACATGGCGAGCAATGATAGTTTACCCTATAGAAAGGAAGACTTCAATAAGCAGTTGTGCTCTGAACCCATTTGCGGTATGCACTGAGGATGCCTCTGAGCAAACGTTATCTTGATGTTCTCTTTATTCCTCAATCCTAAAGTATCTGCAGCTGTCATCTTAGGCATTTTTGTCTGCAGAAGCTTTGCAGATCAGAATAAAGTAGAATCAATCTGGTGTACAAAAACCATGGAGCCCCGTCTGGCTGTGAAGTCTGACTCTTTAACTGACCTCTCTAATTGTAACATGACATTTGTGTGCCATTTTTCCAGTGCTGTTTTGGTTGCTTTACTTAGTTGTTGTATCTGTTATATGCTGTATCATATCAATGTGACTAGGCCTTTTTACTTACAAGCAATTTGTTGACTTAATTTTCTTCATGGAAGAGATCAAAAATAGCCTCATTTAGAAGGATGAGTTCATTATGATAATTTTTGACATATTAACTTTAATGTACAGAATCATTTCATTGCTCGGAATGCTTTCAGTTGACAAAAGTTAAAACAGTTGTCTATAGATGTTGTCAAAACAACATGAGTGCCATCTATTGAATTATTAGCCTTTGGAGTATCCATAACTCTATAAAATTGAAAGGGCCTGTCTCACTTCTGCTTGGGATGATGCCACCAAAGCAAATGAATTCCTTATCTTGCTCTAAAGTACACCAGTAACCTGATAAATGCATACCTGCAGTCTATCCTGGTTAATGTTACAGAAATCTCATGTGACTGCCTGAAATTGGCCTGGAGCTTAAAAATTGAATATAACCTTCACCTTTGACCAAGCAGGCAGGGGAAATTAGGGTGGCTACATGTGGACAACAGATGCACCCTGTCTTACCTTGGGAAGCTATCAATCTGGGAGTGGGAGAAGCTCAAATTTCCAGTTGGTCAGAATAACTCAGCAATCCCTATGTTGTGTCTCTAGAATGTCAAAAATAAATGTTTTAAAATAACATCAGAGCTGTCATACCTGTCAAACTCTTCACGATTTTCAGGCTCAGGCACTCCTCACTTCTGCCTGTTCCAGCCAATCCCAGGAACAAATGTATTCATTTCTCATTCTCGTGTAATTTAAGTGCATTCAAGTACATAATCATAAAATCAGAAAATGTGGGCTTGCAGCCCATGTTCAAATGCAGCAAGACCTGGACATTACCCAGGCTTGGGCTAACAAGTGGCAAGTTACATTTGTGACACATAAATGACAGCCAATAAGTATTTTCAACAAAAGAATCTAACCAATGCCCTTTGACTTTCAATGACATGACAATCACTGAAACCCCTACTATTAACAGCAATAAAAAGAGAAATTGCTGGAAAAGCTCAGCAGGTCTGGCAGCATGTGTGAAAATAAATCAAAATTAATGTTTCAGGTCCGGTGACCCTTCCTCAGGGCCTAATATCAACATCCAGGAATAACCACTGAGCAGAAACTACAACGGAGTAGCCATAAAAGTACTGTGGCTCAAGAGCAGGGCAGAGGCTACTAATTGTGCAGTGAGTAATTCACCTCCTGACTCCCCAGAACCTGTCCATTATCTACAAGGCACAATTCAGTTGTGTGACAGAATACTCTCCTCTGGCCTGCATACCTGTGTGTACCATCTACAAGGTGCACTGTAGAGATTCATCCAAACTCACGACTGCTACTATCCAGAAGGAAGTACATAGGAACCCTACCATCTGCAAGTTCCCTTCCAAACCACTCACCACCCTGACTTGAAAATATATCATTGTTCCTTCAGTATCACTAAGTCAAACTCCTGGGATATCTTCCTAACAACATTGTGCTATACCGACACTGAAAATAAAACAGTGGTTCAAGAAAACAGCTCACAACCACCTTCTCAAGGACAGTTAGGATAAGCAATAGATGCTGGCCAAGTTAACAAAGCCCACATTCCCTGAATAAATAAAAAGTGTTGGTAAAGTGCTCAATAGGAGGATTACAAAAGGTATTAGAAATTTTATGGAACCGTTGTGGGTGACTGATTGTGGAATGAAAAGATGCCCAAGATTAAACTGAGGAAATACTAAAATTGGTATGGAATTTTATAACCCATTGTTTGATTGGAATTCTTATATTGTGTCAATCAATTTTAACAAATTTTACACAGTGGGTTGATAAAATAATGTTATTCTGTTTATGAAAATTTCAAAGAGATTTTAAAACACACAATATTCTCTTTAAATAAACTCTGTTTAGCCTATCAGATGAATTATATGGAAGATGCCAATGTAAATGTCATATGTGAGTCTGCCCCTGCTTGGCCAGTTTGTACAGCAGCCATTAAATTAACATCAGTCATTCATTGGCATGAGGTAGCTCTTTCCCTCTCCCCTGGGAAGGAAGTCCCTCTGCTGAGAAACACCAGTCAATTAGCCAGCAGATGTCTAGTCCTATCAACACCATCAGGAGGGCTTACTGCTGGGACTGCAGCCAATCTCAAAGGAGGCTTCAGAACTTGAGCCCAAATTAAGGCAAATCCGGGATCTAGGTTGACAGTGTGAGGGGAGAGGTGCGTTGCAGACTTTCAAGTACCTGGGACGGAGCACCAATGGATATAGGATGCTCATAAAGGACACACCCTGCTTGCGCTTAACAAGCCATCAGCCTCTTTGGTGAAACTTGCTCGGTTGCAAATTAGATGTGGCCCTCCCTGACCTTGGACAAAATCCCAGAGGCATGCAAAGGAGACTGTTAAGGGGCCTCATTTGGCCCATGCCAGACAAGCCTTCCAATGTCTGCCCCACCACAGGTAAAATTGAGTTTGGGATTGGTGTGTAAACTTCTGGAGTGGAATGCATGACTTGGTATGCAATTTAAGGTCATGGGTGGGGTGTGAACTTGTAGAATGTTGCCTCTTGAAAAGTCTGTAAATGTATAACAATAAATATTAGTTCATTTAGTCTACCCCTGAGGTTTGGTGAAGTTGTTCAAACATTTCAATATCTTAAAGTACTTTATTAACCCAGATAAAGCATTCAGTTTCAAACAAAATGACATGAAGCTACTCCCTATTTTCAAAGTGAGGTTGGATTTCACTCCTTTATTTACCCTACCGCTTACTGTAGTTGCAAAAATATATTCCACATACCCTGCCCTTGTAGTATAAATGCATTGTCAATATTACCAGTTTATGCAACAATTGTATGAATTTAAAGATCAGGATTAATCGGCAGTTGGAAATATCAGACGAGAAATTTTACTTAGTGGATCTAATTGTGCCATATGATTTTACAAAAGGAAATTATTTTTGTATATACTGCATTAATGAATAACGAAAAAGATTTTTTGTTTGTGATTAATATTGATACAGATTAATTTCTTCATTAATTTTGTGTTCTCACCCTGATTCATTTAAAATGAGTGAATGCAGAAGACCATCTTTTAAATTAACCAATCTATTTTATTTTGTTGAATTAAGGAAATAAATGATGCAGATATTCGGGAGCTGGCAAAGAGATTGACTGGCAGGTTGACTGTCATTCGGCAAACTTTCCCAATGTCAGAAAGCAAAAGTCAATACTGTTTGAGAAGCAGTCATAGATTTTCTTCTGTAATGTGTAACCCTAAAGATCCCTTCACTCAACACATGGAGGTAGGGAATGTGACAATAATTGTTTTTTTTTAATAATATTACTTATTGCATACAAATAATATAATTTCTACAATATTTAGATGAAAATATATATATGGATCTAAGTAGAATAGTCATCACTAATGCTATAGAATAATAATGTAATACTGTAAGCAATTTTAAAGCTGTCCTCAATGTTCATTGAATATGCACTGACACAATTTTCAGATGTTGCCTTTTTAAGGAGCTGTATTTATCCAATACATAATTGACTTTTGAAAATGTATGTAACAGTTTTGCATTTATATTTGTATTATTATTAATAAAGACTAATCAACAAGGGGAAATTATATTCTACTTAGGGTTAGTTAAGGATAGTTAGTTGTGCAAAAATAGCTGAATCAGAAAATTGACTGAATACATATGGTCATCTTTTATTTGTGATTCTCCAACCATTTACATTTTCTGTGAAGAGAACGGGAAGGGTCTAGGCCTGAAACATCAGCTTTCCTGCTCCTCTGATGCTGCTTGGCTTGCTGTGTTCATCCAGTTCTACACCTTGTTATCGCATATTTTGCTTCTGTCTTCATGACAAAGAATACAAACTAAATTCTGGTTGTAGCTCAAAATCGACTAGAGAAGCAAGTTTAAACAAATTTATGAAGTTGCAGACTAACAGGTGCCAAGTCCTGACGGACTTCATCCTAGGATCTTAAATGAGGTGACAAATGAGGCAGTAGAAGAGATGGCGTTATTTTTTCAAATTCGGCTAGATTCTGGAAAGGTTACATTGACTGGAAGTAGCAAATATAACCTTTGTATTCAAGAAGTGAGGGAGGAAGGCAGGAGGAAGTCAAAATACAGTAAATAAGAGGCCAGTAAATAGATTGACGCCTGGGGTTCAGAATGTATTAGAATTGATTGTTTATGGTTATGACTAGTCACTGAGAAAAACTCAAGGTAATTGAGATGACTCAGTACAGTCTTATGAAGGGAAAATCATATATAATCAAATTATTGGAGTCCTTTGAAAGAGTAACATGTACTGTTGATGGGGGAGGGGAGGAACGTGGACGTACTGAACTTAAATTTATACAAGATATTTGACAAGGTGACACACAGAAGGTTATTGTACAAAGTACAAGGACAGGGTGAGGATGCCACACATCAAATGGATAGAACATTGGCTGGCTGGCAGAAAACAGATTATTTATAAACGGGTCTTTTCTTCTGGTTGATAGAATATGATGAGTGGATTCTTGCAGGGATCTGTGCTAGGTCTCAACTTTTCACAATTTATGTCAATAAATTAGCAAGTGAGAGCAAAGGTATGGTAAATAAATTTGCAGATGAGGCAAGCGTAGGCAGGAAAGTATTATACAAAGAAGACATAAAGAGGTTGCCAATCAATGTAGACAAGTTGAGTGGGCAAAAGACTGACAGATAATCATTTAATATAATATAATATAATGTAGGAATATAGGAAGAATAAAGATATGTTATTTAAATGAAAAATGACTGCAAAATTTAAAGGTACAAAAGGATCGAAGTGTTCTACTGCAGGAGCCAGAAAAATTTAGAATTCAAGCACAGTGATTAATTAAAAGAATAATGAAGTGCTTTCCTTTAGTTTAGAAATAATGAAAGAAAGGAAAGGGAGTCATGCTTCAATTATACAGGGCATTAGTGAGACAATATCGGAAAGACTGTGTGCAGTTTCAGTCTCCTAATATAAGATGCCAATGCATTGAAGGTAATTTAGAGGAAGGTAACTAAATTGAACAGGCTGCCTTTTAAAGGAAGGTTCAAAAGACTGGGCTTGTTTTCACTGGAGATTAAAAGAGTGAGCTGTGACTTAATTGATGTTTAGAAGATCCTGATAGGTTTTAATAAAGTGGATGTGGAAATTATTATTCCCTTTGTAGTTGAATCCAGAACTAGGGGACACAGTATAAAAATTAGGCATCACCCACTTTGGGCAAAGATAAGGAAAATTACTTTTGTCAGAGAGTTATATGACTTTGGAACTCTCTGTCTCAGAAGACCAAGGGGACAATGTCATTGAATATTCTTAAGGTGGAGGTAGATATATTTTTGTCAGTAATGTTTCTGCGAATAAGCTTCATGGTGCCTGTTTCTCTAAGGCTCAAGATGACTTTTCTCATGCAATCTCCTGCTTGTTACCTCATTAAATGAATCAAAGATTATTGGGAGTTGATCGAAATATGGAATTTGTAACATAAATAGATCACCCGTTATTTTATTGAATAGCAGGTCAGGTTCAAGTAGCTGAGTGCCCTACTCCTAATTCATATGTTCATATAAATGTTTGCACATGCATAGATATATGTGTGCACATGTTATTAAAGCCTCAGGGTGTCTGCAAAAATATTTTGATAAATATGTGACACATTTGTACAGTTTACCTTTAAATGGGTGTAAGTGAAGCTCCTCAGGGTAGAATTTACAATCTGTTACCCCAGTCATTTGGATAGATCAGAAAACTGTATGTCATGCACACCATGGCACCATGGTGTATTTTGATGCATCTCAGACGCGTACACTTGATATCTTCAGGCTGAATTTTCGCATTTTGAGTTACAGTGTTTCTCTGAATGAGATTCATTATGCCTTCTCCGCCAAGGCTCAGAGCAACTTTTCTCATGCAATCTTCGACTTGTCACCTCATTAATAATGCACCAAGGCCCCATGGTGTTCTACTTCTGATATTGTTGACCAGGAAAGGCAGAAGTGCTCACTGCTGATGGGACTTTCTGGCCTTTATACCCTGGTGCCATATTGAAAGCCCAGTTGCACATCACTTCATACACAGCAAGTGAGGAACTCCCAATCACTCTGTGGTGTTCGAATATCATCACTAAGGATATGTCTCAGAACAGGAAGCTGGCACTCCACTTCATGGACAAGGCCTGAAGGTGCAGCCAGCCTAGACTGAGATAGTGTCACAGATCAGTGCTGTGTCCCAGGTAAAATGCAATGATGAAGGTTAATGATCTTTTGAGTTCTGACAAGATGTGTTGCTATCTTCTCTCTGCTATAATTAGGCTATTCGACCCTTGAGCCTGCTACATCATTCAGCATAAGATAGCTGATCATTGAGCTCAATACCCTAATCCCTTCCTACCTCCATTTCCCTTGATCCATTCTAGGCACAAGGGATATAGAGTAATTCGGCATGGAAACAGGCCCTTCAGCCAAACTTGTCCATGCTGACCATGGTGCCTACTCAACTAGTTCCAATTGCCTGCATTTGGTCCATATCCCTGTAAACTCTTCCCATCCATGACCTATCCAAATGTTTTTTTAAATGTTACTATTATACCTGACTCAACCACTTTCTCTGGCAGCCCATTCCATATACACATCTGTGTGAAGAATTATCCCCTCAGGTCCTTCTTAAATCTTTCCTCTCTCGCCTTAAACCTATGCCCTCTAGTTTTCAATTCCCGATCCCTGGGAAAAAGACTATATGCATTCATCCTACCTATGCCCCTCCTGATTTTATAGACATCAATAGTTACTTCCCATTCTCCTACATTCCAAGGAATAAAGTCCTATATTTGCCACCTTCTCCCTATAACTCAGGCCTACGAGTCCTGGCAACATCCTTGTTAATATTCTTTGCACACTTTCCTATGTCTTAGAAAACCAAGTCTTTCCTATAACAGGGTGACCAAATTTGTACACAATACTTAAAGTGCAGCCTCACCATAGACTTACGCATTTGTAATATAATATCCTAACTCCTATACTCAGTGCTTCGATCGATGAGGCCTGCATGCTAAATGCCTTCTTCACCACCCTGTCCACCTGTGATGCCACTTTCAGCAAACTATGTACTTGTACTCCAATGTCCCTCTGTTCCATTCTTCAGGATCTTACCATTTATTGTATAACTTCTACTTTGGTTTGACTTTCCAAAGTGTAACACCTCACACTTATGGGTATTGAATTGCAATTGCTAATCCTCAGCCCGCTTCCCCATCTGATCAAGATCCCTCTGTAATTTTTGATAGCCTTCCTCACTATCAATGATACCTCCTAATTTTGTGTCATCCACAAACTTACTAATCATACCTTGTACATTCACATCCAGGTTATTTATGTAAATCACAAATAACAAAGGTCCCAGCACCAACCCCTTTGGCACACCACTAGTCACAGGCCTCCAGTCTGAGAAACAACCTTCAATCATCACCCTCTGCTTCCTACTATTGAGCCAATGGTGAATCCAATTAACTAGCTCTCCCTGGATCCTATGCAACGTAACCTTCACAATTAACCTGTGATGCGGAATCTTGCCAAAGGCCTTCCTAAAATCCATAAAGACAATATGCACTTTTCTACCCTCATCAATCCTTTTGGTTACCTCTTGGAAAAACTGTAAAAAATTTGTCATACGTGATTTCCTGCACACATATCCATGCTGACTATCCCTAATCAGACCTTGACTATTCAAATGTTGGTTGATCTTGTCCCTCAGTATCCTCGCCAATAACTTGCCTACCACTGACGTCAGGCTCACCACCCTTTAGTTACCTGGCTTGTCTTTGCTACCTTTCTTAAACAATGGAACAACATTAGCCACCTTCCAGTCTTCCGGAACTTCACCAGTGGTTAAAGATGAAACAAAAATCTCTGCAAGGGCCTCTGCAATTTCTTCCCTAGCCTCCCACAATGTCTGAGAATGGACTTGATCAGGCCCAGGGCACTTATCCACCTTAATGCACTTTAAGGCTGCAAACACCTCCTCTCTGGTAATGTGTATGCAGTCCAAAACATCCCCACTTGTTTCCCTTATTTCCTTAGCATCCACGATTCTTTCCTAAGTAAACACTGAGGAGAAATATTTATTAAAAATCTCCCCCATCTCCTGTGGCTCCACGCATAGACAGCCATGCTAATCTTCAAGGGGGCCTATTCTCTCCCGAGCCACCCTCTTACTCTTAATGTAGCTATAGAACCTCTTGGGATTACCTTTAACCTTATCTGTCAGATCT